TATATATATATATATATATATATATATATATATATATATAGATATATATATATATATATATATATATATATATATATATATATATATATATATATATATATATATATATATATATATATATATATATATATATATATATATATATATATAGGGGCCGGTTCCTGTGAGAATGCACCTTGTGGAAAGAAATGAGAATGAAATCTAGCCGTTGGATTGCATAAATATATATATATATATATATATATATATAAAAATATAAATATATATATATATATATATATATATATATATATAGCAGCGGAAGTGACGAGAGTAAAGTGAGAAGTGTCATCTTCATATAACCGGCACCACCGCCTGAGTGAGAAGTGCGCCTGAGTGAGAAGTGCGCTGCACAGTAAAGTGACGAGAGTAAGTGGATTCAACAGTAAATAAACGACGTTTTACGCAAACGGAAAAAACCCAATCTAAACGCAATAGGCAATTATAAAATTAGGGAGATATATATATATATATATATATATATATATATATATATATATATGAGTAAATTCTCAAAATGGTACTCAATAACTATGTCTTTTCCCAAATCAGTCCCCAAAGTTAACTAATTCATTAGATGATACTTGTTACTTTACTTACTTGTTAATTGAGAATAATGTTCAGTTCAGTCCCCCAACTAATGACCGTTAAAACATTGCTAAACATTATGCTACTTCCCCGAAATGGTACTTTCTAACTAGGTGTTTTCTCAAATTGGTCCATTTTCAAAATAAAAATACATTAATTATAGATAAAATTTTAAATTTTATAAGATGACAATATATTACTAAAAACTATAAATATAGTATTGTTTAAATTTGAAATTAAATGATTTAGATTATGTACAAATGTTTAGAAGAATATCATGTAAATAAAATGTTTAATAAATCTTAAAAAAAATCACCTTGAATAAGAGTAAAACATAAAGAAAGTACCAAAATAGAAACTCTTTCTCTATGTTTTACTCCTATCTAAAGTTATTTCTTTAACGTTTATGAAACATTTTATTTACATTATATTCTTCTAAATAATTATACATAATTTAAAATGTTTACATTCAAATTTTTTAAATTATCCTTATAAATTTTAGTTTTATATTTTCATCCTATTAAATTTAAAATATTTTTCCATATTTAATGTATTTTTATTTAAAAAAGGACCAATTTGAGAAAACACCCAATTAGAAAATACCATTTTGGGAAAGTAGTACTCCCTCCGTCCCCCTAAGATCTTATTTTGACTTTTTGCAGTTTTTAAGGAGAGTTGAAAAAAGTGAAAGTTTACCAAAATACCCTTAATGAAAATGGGTGGAGTGTGTTAAATGAAATATGTGAGTGTCGATTTGTGGGTTTATTTATCCAGAGCTCTCTCTCATTTTATTTCCTCTGTTGTTCTCTTGCGTCGATTTGTGGGTTTATTTATCCTTTTTCTGCATTTCTTTCTCTTTATTATGTTATCTTTAATCCATATTGATGATTGTTATTATTATCTTCAATTTTTTAAATCTCTTGTTAACTTAAAAGATATTGAACCATTTTTTGCTCTTGCGTCACTTTAACCAGATTTCTTTAATCTCTTGTTTCATTTATTGTTTTATTATCTTATTCACTAAGTGTATTATCATATACACTCACACTGTCACACACACACACATATATATACATACATACATATATATACATACATATGCATATATACATATATATACATATGTGTGTGTGTGTGTTTGCCATTTGACCGCCCTCCTCTTGCCATGCCTCTCGCCATAAAAAAGGTCCTCTTGCCCGCCACTCGCCATTAACAACTCTGGGTGTAATATATAAAGGGGGTAGTTGTGATATTTTAATTGTTAAAAAGGTAATGAGAAGATCTATCAGAGACAAATAAAAAGGGCTTATGGGAATATCCATGAGGGGCGGAGGGAGTTTAAGGTCTAATGTTGTTTTAACGGACGTTAGTCGAGGGGGATTGAACTAAGCATTATTCTTAGGGGTGTTCATCGGTCTAAAACCGGACCGGACCGTACCGAAAATCGAACTATGCTAAAACCTAGACCGAAGACCGGTCCTAAATGTAGTCGGTTTTGGACTGGACCTAAATGTAGTCGGTTTTGGACCGGACCGACCCAAAATTGTATGGACCAAACTGGTCCAGACCGAAAAGACCGAATCTAGGTGTGGCTGGAATTTAAACTTTCCCACCGGCAAAACCCTAGTTGTGGAAAATTGGGGGGTTTTGAAATCCCGAACTAAATGCTGCAATTGAGGAGTCAGGGCGGGTCGTAAAGATGTCAAGAAGATGCCTGGGTAGGTGCGCGACATCGAATTTTCCGGAGGTTGCTGGTATTTGCAAATACCGCTTGAAAACTGCCGTGACGGATGGCAACTGATTCTTAGCGATTCTGGCATCCAAATCCCACGATGCTGGTGGCGATGGGGTCGTATGGACCTCAGGAGGCGATTGGGAGTGGTGGGGAGGCTCGCCGCTGCGTGTGGTGGCCGGAGCAGATTGGGGAGCGGCATGGACGGCGGCTGCTGCGATATGACGTTTCCCGGTAGCATTTCCGGACGGTCAGCGATTTGCGCCTCTAGAGTCACAACCGATTGCCGATTATGGGAAGCATATCTGCGGTTGGAGAATAGAGATTTGGAATTGGAGTTGAGGTGGAGAATTTTTGGGAAAGTGGAAGGGGAAGAATAGGAAGATAGAATGGTGATGGAGTGATGGTCTCTGGTCTCGATCTTTTACTGATACTCCGTAAAATTAATGGTCTCGGTCTTTTAGGTCTGGACCAAATGATATTCGGGTTTGGACCAGACCGGACCGAAACCCGAAATTGTAAAATTGGTGGACCAAAGACCGACCCGAAATCCAATCGGTCCGGATTCGGTCTGGACCTATCGGTCCGATTCGGTCGGTTTTTTCGGTCTGGACCTAAACACGAACAGCCCTAATTATTCTTAATTAACGAGTTCTATCTCGTGAATTAGTTAATTTCGGAGACTAATTTGGGAAAACATAGTTATTGCATACCTTTTTGGAAATTTACTCTATATATTCGCAGTGGGCCTATGTCGTAAAAAGATTTATAAAAATTTGCCTTCTCTACGGCATTTCGTTTCCCCATTTTTTCAAAATAGCTGTCTTGGTGTCTACGTTTCGTCTCGCCCCTTTCTCCATTTCCAGGCTACATACACTCTCTCAGCCAATCTAACACGGATCTTGTTCTAGTTTCAGTTACCACTTACGAGTTACTAGTCTCAGCTTCATAAATAGAATTTGGTATGAAATGGCTTCGTTGCACGTCTTCCAACTTGTGGGAGGTTATAAAATGAATATCACTAGTTCTTTATATAATACTCGTTGTGAACTAAAAATTTAGGCTTGCAATTTGGACATGCAGAAATAATGGCCATGATCTAGACTTTTTATGCGTCTCCTATTGCTTAAAAATTTTAGGCTCTCTTAATGTAATAAATAAGATTAATCAAACATCCCTTCTAAAGTTCATATTTTCTTTTTTCATGCTTCCATCATGGCTCTTATTAATACATGCCAGACATATAACAACAACAACCCACAACCCAGTTGAATCCCACAAAAGTAGGGTCTGGGGAGGGTTTGTGTATGCAAACCTTACCCCTACCCGAAAGTAGAGAGGTTGTTTCAAAAGAGACCCCCGGCTCAAGTACCACAAGTAATCAGTCTAATCACACACTTAGCTTATCCCTATGTTAAAAACATAAAGTGGATGTTTGCGGATGACCCATGATGAGCGTCAAAAATTGCATTGACCAGCTGCTCCTTCACTACTAAAATAAGCACATACAGTTTAAAGAGTCATTTTGCTTTATTCTATACTACCCAAAAGCCAAAAAAGTAGTGAATCTTTGGCTTCATGTGAGATGATGGAAAAATGCCTAGACATAATAGCATCTTATAAATTATATGCATGTTGTCATTCTCCCCTACCTGTTGGATCCTAAGCCATATTATATCTTAATGACAAATGTGCTTCGAATTATTTAATTACCTATGTGTAAGCTATATCCTTACGATGGCTTTTTTTTAATTCTATGTGAGATAACATTTGTAACTATTTTTATGTTTTGCTAAATATTTGGTTAAGATTGCACATAGGAATGATAGGATCCAATGATTCATTGGAGCTGGCTAGTGGTTATTTATTAATCATGTCAAGTTTTTGTTGTACAACAAAAGTCATGTTATCTTCAAAATCTTTTCCCTGTTTGAAGTTTAAAGTTCATCCCCTCGCTCCCACAAATGCCATTTTTTCCCATCCTTATATCCTTTTTAGTCTGCCTGAATAGAAAGTTCACTTTCCTTGAATTTGAACACCATCAACGTTTTACATATCCTAATTTACCTCTCCAGACCACGCTACATGTAAAAGGAACTTATAATTTGGGACACAGAGTGATAGACAAGACCATCCCATTTAAATTTTGGATTGATTCTGTTTGATGAGAACTATGAAGATCTTTTTTTGCAGTCTTCTTTTTATTTGGAAATGCCACATTTTATCATTCAACATAATTCGGTGATGAATCTTATTTTATCATGTATCCAGGTTTCATGAAAATGAAGATTCTGATGAAGTCTTGTTGAATCTTACATTTAATATTTTGGAAAAGATTGAAAAGAGTGTGCATTTCAGCATTGGTTTTCAGGAAAATGTATGTGATCAGAGGTTTATAACACTATTAGTTGCTTTAAACATTAAGGGCCTGTTCTTTTCGGTTTGAATTCTGAAGTTGGAGTTGGAAGAAACTGAATGGTGTAGGTTAAAACTGGAAGAACTTAGAAAATGTTGGCAAAAATAGTGTAAAAAATCACTCAATTAAATGATCAGCCAAATAAATACGTAAGCAAACTAATTTTGGATAAAAAAGATTTCATCTTTGTCCAGTGTTTGAGGTGGTATATTATAAATTTGGATATATGATGTATTTGTATATTCACCAAATGTAAATAATGTTTTAAAGTTGTTATTGGAAAAACTAGAAGGGTTTGGAAAAAACTGGAAGGAGTTGGAAGAAAATGAAGGAAATGGAAAAAGTTGGAAGTCAACTTTTCCAAACCAAAAGAACAGATCCTAAAGGGCTAAATGGATGAATGTAAATGTCACTTTTCTATCATTTAAGTAGTATCAGCAGCAATTTAATTATGAGTTGAGTAACCATTTTACACAGGAACTTCTTGACGCGATAATAGAAGCACTGAAACATGGGGTAGCCAATTGTTCAGAGGAAAACCAGGAAAGAATTATTACTAGAGCTTTCAACTTGATTTCTTTGGACTCATTGAGGGATTTAAAACCTTCTATTATATCAGCAAACTCTAATGGGGGGCAACTTTCTAGCATTTTGGATGGGATTTCATGCAGAGATGAACACATTGCTTCCCTTGTTGCCTCGGTTATAATAGCTTTGCGCCCCCAATGCCGCATACCAAATCCTCAACTTTTATTGCAGTTCTTTCTAATGAACCTACACAAAGGTCACATTCCATCAGCTCAGGCATTGGGGTCTTTGGTTAATAAACTCCCTTTAGAGACTGATGAAATAAACTTCAATCTGGAAGAAGCAACAGATGCATTATTTAACAATGAAATTTGGATTTCCTGCAATCCTTATGATGGAAAGAAGTGCTCCATTGTCGACAACAGTGGTGCTATTAATATCAGTACTCTAAGGTTAAACATTGGTGCTGTGTGTTATAAGCCTCATGCTCTTGTTGGATTAACTTGGATAGGGAAAGGTTTACTTATGCGTGGCCATCAAGAGATAAAAGGCATTACCAGCTCCTTCTTGAATTGGGTACTTTTAGATGGAAATGTTAAGACCCTCGATGACAAAGGGTTGGAAGTGCTCTCTTTGAGGAAATCTGCCGCTGATGCATTCCATGTTCTTATGAGCGGTTCAGAAGCTTGTTTGAACAAGAAGTATCATGCAACTATTCGTCCACTTTATAAGCAACGGTTTTACAATACCATGCTGCCAATATTATTATCATCAATCCTGGAATTTGATTCACCATCTACACGGTATGTTTGAAGTTTTTTATCATGCACGTAATCTATTAGTCTTTTTTAATCATTCTTGATTGTAAACATTTGCACATTTGATAGCTGCTGCCCCTCTTTGGTTTTGGTTTTAGATCCTTACTATACCGAGTGTTTTCACATTTGATAGTCGGTGCTCCTCTAACTGCTGTTGTGAGCGATGCCAAAAAGGTAACAATAAGTACCATTATTTTGAGGCAAGTTTTTCTTAAAATATTCACAACATTTATTTATTTTTTTGGAACCCCTTGTTCTCAGGTTGTCCCTGTACTTGTAGATTGCCTATGCACGTTGCAAGATGATGATCATGATAAAGATTTAATCTTCAGTGTCTTATTAGTCCTGTCTGGAATTTTGATGGAAGAAAATGGTATGTCCTGTTGCAAGAATATATCACGTTATGTGGATAATTATAAAAATAAAAATATTAATAGTAATAGTAACAGTAACAGTGACAATAACAATAGTACTCCGTAGTAAATAGCAATAGTTGTGGATAATTATAAAAATAATAATACTAATAGTAACAGTAACAGTGCCAATAACAATAGTACTCCGTAGTAAATAGTAATAGTGATAGTAATAATAATAATAATAATAATAATAATAATATTGATAATGATAATAATACTGATTCTATGTTTTCTCCATCTTCCACATTGTCTGGACTCATTCTGCAAGGTATTTAATCAAATGTTACAGGACAAGAAGCTGTTAAAGAAAATGCTCATCCCATTGTCCACCAACTTGCTAAGCTTCTGACATATCCCTATATGATGGTAACTGTGTTCATAGTGTACAAACTCAAATATAATTTTCTTACCCGACTTCCAGTTACTTTTTCCAATGCTTATTCGATCTGTTTTCTTTCACTAAAATGTCTCTGTATATGGAGATGTTAATAACACGCTGAATGTCTTTTCAAACTTATCAGGTAGTCCGCGAAACCGCAATCCAGTGTCTTACGACCTTGTCTAATTTACCCCAATCAACATCATATCCCTTCAGAAAAGAGGTTAGTAAAAATATGTGAAATAATGAATTGCTAATCGGAGTTTGTGGTGATTCTTCCCATGTTTGCAATTAAAGTTGAAAAAATTCATTAACTTCACTCAATATTAACCTTGCTTAACAAACCCAAGAATTTTAAGAATTTTAACTCTCCTATGTCCAGACTTATAATCAAATTTCATTTATTTATTTTGTGACAAGATTTTGCAAGCAATATCAAGAGCTGTTGATGATCCAAAGAAAACGGTTCGTCAAGAAGCAGTCAGATGTCGGCATGCTTGGTCAGGTTAATAGCTTTCTGCATAATAACAAAGTGTTGAAGAGGTGAGAGCTTGTAAGTATATGTTAAGAAAATCCAAGTTGTCAAATTTGTATGAAGTGCACAATTCGGGTTCCAATTTGGTTTCGAGCAAACACTACGAAATGAGATTGAGTGATTGCATATTTGTGGCAACTCAACACGCATAATCCGTTTATCCCGAATTAGCAGCCCGGGTTACTAAATTGATATCCCCAAACACTATTTTTCAAATAATTTAAGGTAGTGTTTGGCAATTAGAATTTCATTTCAATTCATGCATTTCAATTTCAAAATTTGAAATCCTGAATTTCAAATGACCAGGGGAGGTGCATAGATTTCAAATTAAGCTTTGTTTTGAATATAAAGAATTTGATTCAAATCCAAATTCAAAATGCTTAAGTTTCCCAAACATGGAATTTAAGCCAAATCCGGATTTGAAATCCAAATCCATGTTCCCAAACATAGCATAAAATCATTTGGTTTTAAACACTATTTTTTGAAACAATTCAAACCACTCATCGGACTAACAAAAACTGCGCGTAAGATAAAAAAATAAGGTAATTCAATATTCAACTTTGGGATCATGCTCGAAAAGACAATGTCATCCAATAAAAACCATAATGTTTTATTTGAAATACTAGAAGTGTATCCATAAATCTCCTTGCTCTCACTGCCCTTTCACTGCATCGTGCATAGAATGTAAAGTTGAATCCCAATACATTAGGCATCGAAAAAACTTTTGATGTAATTCTTAAATATATAATTTAAATATTTCCACACCAAATTTTCAAAAAAAAAACAGAAAAAAATATTTTTTCTCGTAAATTGATTCATGATTTTTACATGGGGAATGACTATTTATTTATTTACTACTCCCTTCGTCTTATATCTTTTTTCCCGTTGCGCAAAACGAAGAAAAATCCCAAATTTTTTAAATCTATTTTATTTAAATATTGGTATAGAAATAAAAAATAAAACATACATATTTAAAAACTACATCAAAAGTTCAACAAAACAAGTGGTGACAAGAATATTTTATTTTATCATATAGGCCATGAAAAAACACAAATAAATATAAATTCCCGTGAAGTTGGAATAGTGCTCTGAGAAGAAAGTTTTAGGACGGAGAGAGTATTTATTTATTTATCAATTTTTTATTTTATTATGCAATAAATAATTATTCTCATAAAAATTACATATAATAACAAATAATATATAAAAACCTATTTTCCAATAGTCAAAGTGAAATGCTATCCTCGTAGCTTTTTAGAGTTTGGCTTTTCGGACTCGAACAACCAATCTTTGCAGCCAACTATCAAACACATTTTTTGGATGTTTGACTAGTCAAATTCACTAAAATGGGTCAAAACAGTCAAAAGTCATCCTAAATGCCAAAAACCAAACACGCTCATGGTTGTTGCTCTCTTTGAAAAAAGAGCTACTCTAGTTTATGATAAGTCGAATCTGGGTTAATATCTTTTATTCATTTTTATACATTTTTAGTACTTTTAATCTTTTATTTTTAGTTGCTTAGATTAGTTTTATTTTAATTCTCATTTTTACATTTTTTAAATTTTTTTCAAAAATAGTAGTTTTTAATCATCTTTTCTTCTCCAATTTCTAAGTAAAATTTTTTTATATTCAATTTTACATTTTTGTATGCTTGTTTTTATTAATTTCAAATTTTTGTATGCTTGTTTAAAATTGTTTATTAAGTTTTACATTTTTACATTTTTACATTCAACTTGCACAATGCTTGTTTTTATTAATCAATTTCTGTATGCTTGTTTTACAAAAGGTAGTTGCTCTATCAAAGGCAGAAGCAGAATTCAGAGGGATCGCTCGAGGAATTACTGAAGTTCTTTGGCTAAGAAAACTCCTTAAAGATTTGGGGTATCCGCTGAAGGGTAAATGTAGACTGATGTGCGATAATACCGCTGCTATTCGTATATCAGAGAATCCAGTACAACATGATCGTACCAAGCACATCGAGATTGATCGTCACTTCATCAAAGAGAAACTCGAGGCAGATATCATCAGTCTTCCATATGTCCGATCTGAAGATTAAACTCACAAAAGCAGTGCCAGCTGGAGTCTTTCAGGCAACATTAAGCAAGTTAAACATCCGAAACGGATGATTCAACTTGAGGGGGGAGTGTTAGAAATATCAAACAAAAAAAAGGAATAGTGTGGAATAGTGTAATATCTTGATGATATTCTTGATTGGAATCAAATTACCAATCAAGATATTTGATTAACTTCCACTCACTTTCCTTAATTGTCTTCATTAGTAACTTTGTACTCCGTAATATTTATATAGACATCATTAGAGATGTATTCAATAAGATGAATATTTGAGCTGTGAATTCATTCTATCATTATTTCTAATAGGAAGGAGAATAATGTCAAAAAGAAAAATCAGAAGAATCTAGCTGCTTTCCATTCAAATCCCACCATGGCATACACTATGAGCGTGTTATATGATGTTTGAAGAAGAAGAAGAAGATATGCTATTTCACAAATGACCCGCAAGAAGAAGTTTTAGTAGATTGCTTGAGATGCTAGATAGATTTCTTGAATAGGAAAATTGACTTGTATGTACACTTGGTGGTACTCATTCAGATCATATGAAAATCTATTGTGATACTACTTCTGCTTTACATGTAGCTGCAAATCTGCTTTTTCATGAGAGAACGAAGCATATTGACATAGATTGTCATTTTGTTCGTGTCGAACTGATTCTTGAGTCATTTGCACTGAACATGTTTTTATAGTCGACCAGTTAGCAACACATACAAAGGCGTTGAGCAAGACACGATTGGAGCTTCTTATTACCAAGTTGGGCATTTTGCTGTTACAGCATGCTCTAACTTCAGGGGAGTGTTAAGGAAAGGAATCCTATTGTTACCATTATTATATTATTTGATTTGATGCCCGTATGGTAGTAATTGTATAGGATCTATGTTTCCTATTTTGATTTATTTCCTTGTATATTTTTGTTTCTTTTTAGACTCAGAGTTCCCAATTCAACATGTGGGTTTCTATAAATACTGCATTGTATTCTATTTCATTCATTCAGAAATATACAATTATATTTCACCAAATATTCTTAAACAGCCTAAACAACGGGTGGCTAGAGGTTTCAAGCACTCAATATTACATCATGTGTTGGTCATGGTCCGTGGTTGCTGCACGCTAAATCTTTAAGAGCAAACTCCTAGGGTGTGTGCATCAATAAAAACACTGCAACGCCCCCGACTAAATAATTTTATATGATGATTAAAGTAGTAATATATTAAATTCCAACAATATGTGCTACCATAAATGCTTTTATGATATGCTGTTTAATATCTATCTAAGCTGGAAGTTCAATGTCTTAATGCAATGAGAATACATGAAAGCAAAGAACAGTGCAAAACCAATGAGAACTGCCGCTACGGGTCCCATGAAGTCTGGTTCATACCCAAAATGATCTTTGATGTAATCTTTGATCCGGGGATCAGATATCATTCCTTCAACCTTAATTGTCTCTTCTACATCGCCATATTGTGAGACAATGCATCCATATACGGTCCATGCCACAGGACAAATCCAGTAATACCAAATCCACCACTTTGGAATTTTCTGTAAATGTAACAGCATGAATTAGAATTGCCAGTATTTTTCCTTTTTTATGGCATGCTTTGTTGGGAAATGTAGGAGAGAAGGTTTAAACTCACAGGTCTGGGGATGAAGAAACCAGAGAAAAGGTTGAAGAGCGCATAGAATGCTGCAGCAAAGATGGCTGCCACTTGGTGGTTAGGTGTGATTGAAACGGTCATCATCCCATAGTAAGTGAAGTAAAGGAAGGAGAAGAATGTCACAAAGAAAAACCAGAAGAATTTAGCCGCTTTCCAGTCAAATCCCACCATGGCATACACTATGAGAGTGTAATATGATGTTTGAAGAAGAACATATGGTATTTCACAAATGACCTGCAAGAAGAAGGTTTAGTAGATTGCTTGAGATGCTAGATAGATTTCTTGGAATGGAAAAATGACTTTTGTTTCCCACCTGTGACATTGCATATGGTAATGCAGAATACATTCCAGCAGCTTTTTCACGATAAAACACACTTCTCTCAGTAGAAACTATGGGTTGTACAGTGGAGCAATTGCTGATACCAACAAACAGTACAGCTGCATACATAGCTCCAATGACAGTCATAAGGTCACTTCCAGTTTTTCTGCATCACACATTCAAATACAGGGTGTTTTAGAGTATTTTAGTACACAAAACATTAATCCTCAAAAGGCTTCTTAATTTATAAGTGGTTCATTCCATTTGGATTGAAGGCGTACATTTTGCCTCCGATGTCCCAAAAAATTGTGCCGATCATGAGTGCTGCAACCAAAGTGAAGAAGTATCTCACAAGATTGTAATCTGGACTCCTCCAATAAGTCCACCACTGCTTCCAGATGCAGGATTTGAATTGGCCCCATGTTGACTGAGAATATTGGGTAGCAAAATAAAGATCCTTTGCTCCAGGTGGAGGAGTACTCAATTCTTGCACAAGTTCTTTGTTTCTCCTGTGCATTGTACGTATAAGCATTCAAACATTTGAGACGCCAATGTCACAAGAAGTGCCAGATAATGATCGATTCATTCCAGTAATGTGTGTTATTAATTACAGTTAGATTTTAAACTTACAGATGTAAAGATGAACTTTTGTAGTGTTCAGCAAAATCCATTCCGAGTCTGGTTTCCATGGAGACCGAACTCACTTCTAACATCCAGGTAGCTGGATTGTAATTCTTTGTGATTTTAGATACCCCCGGCACTGCCTGTGATACATGATCATGCAATTCTATTAGTTGTTTGTACCTTCTTAAATAATACAAAAATTAAAAAAAGAAGTCATATCATATACACGAGTACCTCAAAATACTCGATGATTTTATGAGAGTTTCGGCCTAATGGCCCTGCATAAATCACTTGCCCTCCTCTTTTCATAAGTAGCAACTGATGATTCACAATACATACAAAAGCATCATGTATTAAATTAAAGAGAAAACCCAACATCATTCTGTAGATTATTCACCTGAAACTATTCAAGTTTCAACCAACCTCATCAAATGCTTCAAAAATGTCAATGCTAGGTTGATGAATGGTACAAACCACAGTTCTTCCTGTGTCCACCGTGTTTCTAACAGTTCGCATAACAATGGCCGCTGCTCTTGCATCGAGACCAGAGGTGGGCTCGTCCATGAATATAATTGAAGGATTGGCCACTAATTCAACTGCAATCGTCAACCTCTTCCGCTGTTCGGTAGAGAGGCCAGAAACTCCGGGTATCCCAACAATTGCGTCCTTGAGGTTATCCAGCTCAACCAAATTCACTACTTCATCTACAAAAGTCTAGACGAAAAATAATAATAAAAAAAAACGTCAAAATAATCGAGTGTTCGTATTTCAGAAGAAGAGAAAGACTCTGGGGCGGGCTCTCCTACCAGTTTATCCTCTTTTCCAACTTCTTTAGAAAGTCGGAGAAAAGCTGAAAATATCAAAGATTCATGCACAGTTACTTGGGGTGAATGTATGTCGTTCTGTTCACAGTAACCGGAGACCCTAGCAAAGGTTTCTTGCTTCTTTGGAAATCCTGATATTCTGATGTCCCCTTCAACGTAACCACCAGTTTTTCGTCCTGCTAAAACATCCATTAGAGTAGTTTTTCCTGCCCCACTGACTCCCATCAATGCGGTCAAAACTCCAGGCCTAAAGGCACCTGTTACCCCCTTTAGTAATTGGAGTTTATCCTCTGTCACTCCTTGATCCCTCATTTCCTATTAACATAGTATCACTTATATGTCATACAAAACAATTTTACATATTCTGAAATGAAAAGGGAGGGGGCACATGTCATTGATCATATTCTTACAGCCGGCATGTCCACGAAATATTTCAGGTCATCAAAGGACATTGCTAAGGGCGTGAATGGTAGAAGCATTCCTCGCTTTGGAGCTATAGCATTTGTGGACTCCTTGCTCGAATCTTCATTCCTATTGAGACCGCTTCTATTGACACGACTACTCATGCGCCGAATTTCCATTTCTCCTAGAAAACAAAACCAAAATTTGATAAGAAACTAAAACATCATCTTGGAAATTGTTTGCCATATATATTCACACAAAAAGAATTGTTACTTGTGTTGTTTCCATCGGCTGCCGAGAGTGAATGAGGAAGTCCATCTTTCCTTGAATTTGTGGTTCTTAGTCTTGGGGATTCTGTGGACTCTTCTTCATCATTTTCCATCTCCTTTGCTTGATCTTTGGATATTACAGCTTTTTTCTGTTCGAGGGCTGTTGCAAAAAACAGTAACTGATGATTGTGATGATAAAGCCGTGCAATAACATAATTCAATGAGGTTTGAGTTTGCTACATACGGTTGAGGTATGTGAGAGCGAATGTGAACAGAATGTTAAAGAGAACGGTGAACCCCAAAAGTGCAATGGAACCTATCCAAAACCATCTCTTTTCAGGGAACACGTCAAAGTTCCTCATCACTTTAAGTCCCACTCTTGTATTGTTTGAAGTCTAGCAACACACACACAAATGGAACAAAGAGTCATCAGGATATACGGAAGCTAAAAGCATTTACAAAAATGAAGAGAAATATACTCTCACAGGTCACAAGCAAACGTACCACTTTGTTCATCCATCTAGGAGCAAACATCTCGTTGATAGTTATCGAATTAAACGCGTAACTTAGGGGAGAAATCCAAAAACCCCAACCCCACCAGTCTGGGATAGAACCTGCAATCAAGAAAAGTAGAGTTTGGTTAACCTAAACAAAAAGTGCATCTTTACACAATTGTTCTTCTGATAGTTGTTTTGGACAAACCTTTGGGGAGGATGAAACCACCTAAGAGGAAGACGAGTAGGAGGCTCAAAGCTCCACCTGTATTAGCAATAACCATCGTCCTACAAAGCGCTGCAATGAGCCTAAATAGACCTGAAGCCATCTGCTGGATCAGAAAAATCACCATGAATTGCTTGAAGAATCTGCTCGCTTCAGGTGAGAATCCAATCGTGTAGTATGTAGTGACCATCCACACAGTGGTCTCGAAAACAGATATGGGGATTTTCAGAAGAAATGTAGGGAGAGTGAAAGCCCAAGGTGGGTGGAAGAGAAGATCCCTCTGCTTGTAGAAGACGGGAAGCCTCTGGATGGTCATTGACAGTTCTGAGAATCCATTGAACATGTTAGTGATGATTGCAAACAAGAGTGCGCCAATGTAGACCCCTCCGTCCTCTTCATTCCTAGTGTGCATCTTGGTTCTGAAAAACACAGTTGACGCAATGATGGCGACGATGATGATCTGAACACTTTTGAATACATACACAAAAGAGTTCCTCTTGATTAACAGCCACTCTTTGTCAAAATTGGCACTCAAAAGCTCCCTGATCGGCACTGTGTACTTCTTGAACACCAGAGCTGCTTTATGGTTTCTTGATTTCTCATACGGCACAGATAGTTCATTGTCCAGACGTAACCCCACGTGGAATCTCTTGAACTTCCTCGCGAATTCTTTCACAGATGTGTAACTGTATGGCTTTCCCTTGTCTTCCCAATATTGTTCTTGATCCTTTCTCGACGTTACCTGTATACAACCGATAAACTCTGCATGGATGTTTCTCTGTCTCTAGTACGTACTCAAAATGTTTTACCATTTCATTTATCTTTACCATTCCACCAATATACTTTCAAATTTAACTCCATATATAGGGAAAATAGTAGTACTTTGCTGCTAACACCCGGTTGCCAATTAAATGCTCATTTATTAGCATGTTAATCATTATTCTTGGAACAAAAATAAAATAATTTTGTTGTGGTTAGTTGTAACTGTACTTGAGACATAAAACATCTAAGTTGCCTATTTACTCTAGTAATAGAGATCAAGCCACATGTGATCCGTTTTTGTACTTTTCCTCCATTAAAAAATAATAATTTTTTTAAATGATCTGATTAAATAGTCCAAAATGTGATCAAGTAAAGCAAATTTCTAAAAGTTTCTTATTTGTCCAATTATACATGGAATTACGGAGTGACAAACAAGGACAATAAGATAGAACATTTGGATAGAGCAAATGAAACCAGGTTGCTCGATCTTCGATACAATTTGCTAATGTATTTTAAGAAAAAATGTTAGAGTCACAAACACAAAGGTCACAAAGTACATTGGGCCTGTTTGGGAATAGCGTTAGAGATTAGCGTTAGCGTTTTGGATAAAATTTTAACGGTGCAGATTACTTTGAAAACGCTAACGTTAAACGCTGCCCGTAGATAGCCTTTTCAAAACGCTAACGCTAATCGCTAACGTTATTCCCAAACAGGCCCATTATCTTACGATTTGTACACTTCATATAGAAAACAAATTAATTTTAAAGAATTGAAAAGTAAAAGTTTATGTATTTTGTGAATTTATGTTTGTAACTCTAGAATTTTTTACATTTTAATAGTAACATCACACAAATACACTTGAAAAAATTAAATGAATTATCGTTAAATAATTTTCCCTCCGTCTCCAATTAATTGTTACACTCTACTAATCAGGATTTAAATTTAATCCATTTATTTCTTTAATTTAATTACTAATTTGACAAAATAAACAGTGTTGTGTGAGTAGATTTATATTTAATTTAATAAAATAATGTTGTATTATTTCTTTTGAAACAGATACTATATCCCAAGTCAAGTTGTGTGAGTAGATCGATATCTGGAAGGATTTTCTATTGGACTTGAGAAAAAATGCATACTTCAAACATGTTTAAAGAATGGAAAGGTATAATAAAGTACCGTACCTCTTGCAAGAAGTCAGCTGTGCCTTTTCTATCTGGGCATTTGAATCCACAAGACTCGAAGAATTCAAGGATATGTTCTCTTGGGCCTTGGTACACAATCTGGCCTTCAGATAGGAGAATAACATCATCAAATAGATCGAAGGTCTCAGGAGCAGGCTGGAGGAGGGACATCAAGATGGTCCCCTCGGTTAGGTGCACAATCTGTTGTAGACATTTCACTATTTGGAATGTTGTTGAGCTGTCAAGGCCCGTTGATATCTCGTCCATGAATAAAGTTTTGGTCGGCCCAACAATGATCTCCCCTGCATTTTTTACCTCCAAACCATGAGGCCCATTTTTAGTGAGTAGTACAAAAATATATCCTGGACCAATTTTCTTTAGTTCTGACCTGTAGTCACTCGCTTTTTTTGACCCCCTGAAATGCCTCTTATCATTTCATCTCCAACTATCGTATCACGGCACACATCAAGTCCCAATATCTGCACCAATTAATTATTCAATTTAAATTTACTTTGCCATCATCAGAAATCAAATACACTAACCCTTTACTCCCAAACGAAATCTTCATTTCCTTTTAGGCTCCCTTTAGTTACTTAATTCAAACTATGAAATCAGAATTGGAGGCAACAATTTCAATTGTTTTGTTTGGTAGCAAAAAAATGGATTTGGAATTGGTAGTGCCAAAACTGAATTGAAATAGGAGAATTAAATTCCATGCAAATTAATTTCATAGAATTTTAACTCGTAATTCAATTCCTATTCCATCAATTCCGTGTACCAAATGGACCCTTAGACTTTATTTGTTACACGGAATTACTTGAATAATGACTAATGGATAATGACTAAGAGTGCTACATTAGAAAATAAAAACATATGATGCGGTTTAAGGAAGGTCATTATATTTTAGTACTATTTAGGTAAATTTCTCTTTTCACAATGAAATACTACCTCTGTTCCATAGTATTTGTTCAATTTTGAGTTTTTGTAGTTAAAATTGATAAACTTTGGCCATTAATTAAATAAAATATATATGGGAGAAAGACCAAAGTAGGACTAAAACAGTGAAAATATACCAAAATATGACTTCCATATTATTATTCCCGAAATAGACTTAAAATGTAGTTACATTACCAAACATGGTCATGTACATTACCAAAAAGTATAGTAATGTGCACGTGTACAACTGTACAGTGTGACATCACAATTACATTATCACTGTGTGAAGTCCTTTTTTGGGAAAAAAACATGAAAGTCTTATTTTGGTACTTTTTCTATATTTAGTCTTATTTAAAGTGATTTCTAAATTTATATTAGGTATTGATACAAAAATAATTTAATTAGATTTATTTAGTAAAATATTTTCTAATATTATTTTATCTAATTAATATATATGTTATTTTTATTTAATTAATGTCCAAAGGTCGATTTTGGTTAACTACAAAAAGTGAAAAATTGGACAAACATTCTCTGATGGAGAGAAAATTAATTGAGAGGAATACATTCTCTTTTCCCCTTCAATTTTTACTACTCACTCCGTACCTGAAAACCTTTCTCCTTTCTTTTTTCATCCGTCCCAAAAAATACTTTTCATTTATATTAAAAAGTCACTTTTACCTCTTACTTTTCATATCCTACTTATCACATCATACCTTTTTACTAATAATATATCCATCAAATTATACTTTTACCAATCACATCAAAGGACATTTTTGGAAATTCAATACCGAAATACACTTTCCTTAAATCTCTATTCAAAATCAAAATTCCATATTTTCCGGGACGGAGGGAGTATAATTTAACACTTATTTTAATTTATACAATTAAACTAAAATATGAAAACAATAAAAGTTTAAAATACAATTAAATAATACAAACTTACAAAAACTCAAAATAAAAAAAATTAAAATTAAATAAATGAAAAACAATAAAAAAAATTTAAAAAAAGGAAAAGAAGCAACAAAAAAAGATAAAAGAAAGAAGCAAAACAAAAAAAGAACAAAGAAGCAAAAGAGATGAAATAAGAAACCCAGAAAAATCGGACAGGAAAAATTGACAGGGGCTCTCGCTCTTCCCGTTCCTGCAAGGGAGGAGGGTGGTGTTCCCCTTCTCTTCCCTCGCCACATGGCATCTCGCAAAGTCTTCCAGCATGGCACAACAGAGGGCCTAAGCGGTATGGGGACGGGAAGAGTGATGTGGCACTCCGAGAGGGAGGGGAACATCGACCTCCCCATGCGGGGATTGAAAAGGCGGGTCCTTCCCGTATTTCCTACGGAGTATTTGGCTATTTCTATTTCACTTCTTTTTCTTTTTCTACTTTTCCTTTCCTCTCTTTCCTTCTTTGTTGTTTTTTTTGTTGCCCTCTCATTATAGATTTTTTTTTTCTTCTCTTTTTTTGGCATTTTTTTTATTCTTTAGTTTTTTTATTTCCTTCAATTTTTAATATTTATGTTTTTTTTCACAATCTTTGGGAAAATCGACCACCCCATGCGGGAATAGAAAATGTGGGTTCTCCTTCCCGTTTGTCCTTTTATATTTCACTTCTTTTTCCTTATTTTTATTTTGCTTTTCTTCTCTTTCCCTCTTTGTTGTTTTTTTTGTTGCCTTCTCGTTTAAGATTTTTTTATTTCCTCCTTTTTTGTATTTATTTTTTTATTCTTTAGTTTTTTATTTCTTTTACTTTTAAATTTTATATTATTTTATTTTTTCCAAAATCTTTAATTTTTTGATTTCTTTAATTAATTTTTATTTTTGGTTTTTGAAAAGTTACGGAGTACTATTTAATTGTTTTAATGTTTTTGCTTTTTATCATCACTTTAAAATTTTTCAAAATTTTATTTTTTAATATACAGTTTTAAAAAAGCTTCTCCTGTTGTAATCTTCAAGTTTCAATTTTTCTTTTAAATTTTCACAGTTTTTTTAGTTTTTTTTATTTCTTTTTTAAATTTTTAAAGTCTAAAATACTTGAATATTAAGTTTTTAGTTCAAGTAATTTAAATTAACTTAGTGTTAAAATAATTAAATAAATTACAATAATGGAAGAGAATGAAAAAAAGAAGTAAAATGAAATACTCACGTAGCACTGAGTTGATAAAAGGAAAAGAGAGGGGGGGAGGAACACTGGGATTTACGGGGCGATTCATGTAACATTACCCGGTAATGTAATGGAATAATCCAAGAGTGATATGGTGCTCCGTTCGTAAAATTGACGATTTTTCCCTCCCGTAACCCCCTAGTAATCCTCCTCACTCCGCCCCGACCTGAACACACCCCCGCTTCCATTAATTGCACTCCCAAATTAATTTTGACTTTGGAGTCAAAATTAACTTTGGGGTGCAATTGAAGGGGGTGAGGGTGTGTTCGGATCGAGGCGGGGTGGAGGGTTTACCGTGAAAGTTAACGGGATAAGAATCGTCAATTTTAAGAACAATGCACCATAGTATTTTCAGATTATTCAATTACATGAGATCCCGATCTCATAAGAACGCTCTGTGGGACACACCCATAACCTAATTATTGTGCTAAGTTCCATCAAATAAGAGAAAGGGACTACTCCTCCGTCCAGAAATGTTCTTCACATTTGACTTTTCACGGTCTCCAATATTGCACTTTGATCATTAATATCTATATTTATACATAGATATACTTTATAAAAATTTGATATTTGAAAACCACGTTTCATTATGAACATATTTGTATTAAATTTATATTATAATACAATGTAATTTTTCCACAAATTGTAATCAAAGTTTACAAACTTTGACTAAGAAAAGTCAAATGTGAAGAATATTTCGGAACGGAAAGAGTACTATTGAGTATTGAACTCCGAGACTATAAATGTTTGAGTTGAGAAGCACATTGCACGTAGGTGAGGAATGTGCTGACATTGTTGACTAAAAAGAAAAAAAATGAAAAAGTCGTTCATATGGCTGTGGTTGGTGATGACTGCTGACTTTCTGCTGATTCATTTAAACCATTAAAGGTACTCCACTCCGTAATAGTCCGTATATGGGTAGGTACGTTTTATACTGAAGTGGACAATTTTTTCCACGGCTATGTCTTAGAAGGCAAACTTTCTTTGTGTTTCCAAGTCTATAGTCCATATAGGGAGTAGTAGATAAGCATTTTTTAAATCCTAAACTATATTTTATATAAAAAATAAAAAAAATTATGTAAAAATTAAGGTTTAATCTCAAGTCCATCATAATAAAAAAAATTATGTAAAATTAACATTTTCTAAATTTTATCATTTACAATTGCCACTATAACAAGGAGTATTTTGTGAACAACGACTTCCTTATGACTTTGGCTGTTTGGCATGTTTAGGTTTAGGTAATAGACTAATAGGTGGCTCTAAAATCTTACCCAAAATTTCACAAACTTACATGCAACTCCACTAGAGAATAAAGATAAAGAGATTTAAAAATTTTCAAAATGCACAAATTGAAATTCACCAAATGCAGCTTTCATTTAAAAAAATCACAAGGCTAATTTGTAATTTTTGTAGTTTTTTATTTGGGGTGAATTTCCAAACTCATTTAAAGGACTAGGGATTGAAACACTATGCCACGTTTATTGTTTTGTGAAAACAAAAATAAAATTATAACCATGCTAGGTGTATACCACTTGGTGTTCACACCAAGTTATACACTAAGGATTTGCATTGAGATATTGATGGCTAATATTGATAAAAATACCAATATAGTATTTTGCAATGACACTGATATTTTATATCCTGACTTTATACCATCAAAATATCAATCCAAACCCTTAATTAATGTACAACTTAGGGGACACCGTAATGAACTACTCCGTGGGATGCAAGCCCTTGACTACTCCGTCATAAACTATGAAAAAGGAAAAATTATTACATGCACTTAAGGTCCATGGTAGATCTTCATATATCCCTAATAAGCATTTTTAAGTATAGAAATAAATATTTTTAAAATTAAAAAAAAGTTGTGAGATAATCCATGTGGATCTTAAGTCCACCATAGAATCATTCTGGAAAAAAACTTACCCGGAGCGTGTAATCTGTAGCAATAGTTTCATTAACCCCTTCCACTGCAGTTGCCTAACCAAACACATCAAACAAAATTTCCAATTAGTCATTAGTACTCCTAATTAACACTCCTTTCTGACCATAATTTATGGTCCATTTTCTTTTTTTTCAAAAATAATTTTATTTATAAATTGGCATAGAAATTCATAAATTGGCATAGATATAAAATATACATCCATTATTTTTAAAAAAAATTGTAAAATGAACTGAATATATTAAATTTATTTCTATATACAATATGCATATTTGGGTCATGTTAATACAACCATCACCGTGAAACCTTCATTTTCTGATGGAGGGCCTACTATATATACCAAAAATTTACTTTCAAATACCATCAATTTTCTGATAATAACCCTTAGATCTGAAATATACTTTGGGTACCTTTTTGGATACCTTTTCGGATACCTTCATTTTGTGATGGAGGTCCCACATGATCTAAAATATACTTCAGTATACCCTTGATTTTTTAGTAAGAACTCTCTGTGTTAGAATATTAACTAATTAGTTTAGTTGGTTAAAGTTTGTTCGTTTGTTATGATGACATAACAAACATCTTCTTCTTTTTCTTTTAAGTCCATGTGTATAAACACTAGATATTTTTCTCTTTTCCAGCTGTAATTCTTCATTCTGTAGAAGAATATTCAATAAACAAAAGTATTTTCCGTTCTTCTCCAATCTTCATCTTCGTTCTTCATATCTCCATCATGAAGTTCAACATAGTATTAGAGAATTAGATCTTCGTCTTCCTCGATTTTCTTATCCTTCTTCTGTTCGAATCCTTCTTCTACATTTCAATGGCGAAAAACACAATGCCAGGAAGAATTGATCCTTCAGATCCTCTGTATTTACATCCATCGGATCATTTAGCGTTTAACCATGATTTCGAAGCAGTTTGATGGAGAAGATTTCGGATCTTGTAAAAATATATGAAGATGGCTTTATCGGCCAAGAATAAGCTTGATTTTGTCTATGGAAAGGTTCAGAAGCCAAACGATTCTCTTTTCCGAGCTAGTATTGGGCAAAGATGTAACGACATGGTTACATCTTGGATTCTTAATGTTCTAAGACCCCGTTCCGTTCAACTTATTTTTTCTGCTTTTTCCTTATTCTTATTAAAATCATATTAGATCACACCAAATCAGATCTAATCAGCTAATCAGATCAGATGAGATCAAATCTGATCTGATCAAATCCAATCAGATCAGACCAGACCAGATCAGATCAAATCCAATAAAGAATTATTATTATTATTATTATTATTATTATTATTATTAGGAATTATTATTTTCATCACTATCATTATCTTTATCGTTATTACTCCATACTTCTTAAATTCCATACTTTTACTTGTTTCACTTGATATATTTTTAAAATACATTTTTATTACTCCATTTAAAATACATTTTTATTACTCCAGATCCAGCAAGAATTTAAAATATATTTATTACTCCATACTTTTTTAATTATTATTATTCCATCATTATTGTTATTACTTCATACTTTTAAAACACATTTTTATTGCTACTTGTAATTTGAATTTCTAAAGTTATTACATTATAAAATAAGAATTAAAAAAATTATTACATTATGTTATTACATTATAATATGAATGATTTTTCTAATATATGAATTAACTAATTTTGTTTCACTAAAAAATAATCATAAAATAAAAAGTATTAATTATATTATAATATGAATTATCATTATAATTTTCAAAAGTTATTATAAAGTCAGATCAAATTATTGATTTGAATTTTAAATCAAGTCATAATTAATATCATCAGATCGGATCAGATCAAATTAGATCCAATTAGATCAGTTCAGATCCAATCAGATCAGATCAGATTCAATCAGACCTGATCAAATCAAAACTATAAAAAATCTGATCAGATTAGAAAAAATAAGTTGAATAGAATGGAGCCTAAGTAAAGAAATTGAAGATAGTGTCCTATGTGCAGATACTGTGACTAATATCTAGAATGAAGTGGATGATAGATTTGGACAATCAAATTGGGATTGGTTGTACAAATTAGAGAAGGGCATCTATTTGATTTCTCAAGGCAGTTCAGACATTGCCATATATTACTCCAAATTAAAAGTAATTCGGGATGAATTGGTGCTAGTATGCAATCTTCTTAGATGCAATTGTGGAGCTGTTCAAGCACTTCTGAAACATGAGCAAAATCAAAAGCTGGTTCAATTTCTTATGGGACTTAATTCAGACTATAACATAATTCTTATACTGAGGCCTTTACCTTCAGTTTCTGCAGCCTATGGGATGCTCATACATGAGGAAAAACAGAGTGGAATTTAGACTACTCCTCATTTTGTTCGTGATCCTGCTTCTCTTAATGTAAACATCCAACCATCTTACAATGAAAGATATGAAGATATAAAGGTCGTGATTATTGCAAGAAGAAGGGACATACTGCCAACAAATGTTAAAGGCTTGTGGGATTTTTCAAGGACTACAAATTCACTAAGGGAAAGAAAATGACTGGCAATGCAATAAATAGAGAAGAGCCAGAAGTGAATGAGTCTGAAGGCAGAGAAAACAAGACTGATAATGTTTTCAATCCTAAAGTTTATAGTCAATTCATGAAGTTTCTCAGCACATGTCATGGGGATAAAGGACGTAGACACTAGTGCTCAATCAAATTTCTCACAAGCGTCTTCAGCACACATGGCATGTATGATGTTTTGTTCCTCTGATTTTTTGACTCAGCATATATGTAACAATTTGCATACAATTGATAACTATGCTTGGATTTTAAATATTGGAGGTATAGACCATATGTGTGTCAATCCATTCCTTTTAACCAACCTCAAAAATCTGCCCATTTCACATCAGATCACTCTACCCAATAGTCATCAAAACACTATTTTCCAAAAAGGAATTGCACACTTACTCAATAATATTGTTCTTAATGATGTGCTCTTTTTTCCTACTTTCAAATAGAATCTATTGTCTTTGGGGAAATTATGTCACCAATCAAGACTTACAGCCTGTTTCACACATAGGACATGTAATTTACAAGGCCCTTCCAGGAAGAGGCCAGTGGATCTTGGTGAAAAATGTGGTGGACTTAACTCTAGTCATTTCTTCTTCTTTCCATCCTGAAAGTTGTCGTGCCAACAAACAATCATTTCTTTGTGATAATATTGTTTCTAGTAATTCATGTTGTAATAAAGCTTGTAAGGATCTCAATGTAAAAGTTTGGAACATGAGATTGGGTCACTTACATGTATACAAACTGAAACATTTGTGATCTTTTGATACCAACGATTTTGATTTTTTATCTTTTTGTGATGTTTGTTCTAGAGCTAGGAAACATAAACTACCCTTTCCACATAGTCAAAGCCATTCCTCTCATATTTTTGAGTTGTTTCACATAGATATATGGGGACCTTACCACACAAAAACCTATAATGGATTCTCATTTTTCCTTACCATTGCGAATGACTTTTCTAGAGCTACATGGACATATCTTCTAACAGTTAAAAGTAATGCTTTTGACATTATTCAAACATTTGTTGCTAAGATCAATACTTAGTTTGGTGTCCAAATAAAAAATGGTAGGCCAAATAATGCTCTTGAATTGGGTAAAAATATTGCCACGTCCAAAATATTTATCATTCCTCAAACCAGTGTCAGAAGTACACCCCTAGAGAATAGTATTGTGGAAAAAACATAAACATCTCCTCGAAACTCTTAGATCTTTATTTATCTTATTCAACCTTCATGTCAAATTCTAGGGAGAGTGTATTCTCACTTCCACCTACCTCATTAATATGTTTCCATCCAAATTTTTGAAAGGAAAATCTCCTTATGAGGTCCTATTTGGAAAACACCTAAATATGATCATTTAATGGTGTTTGGTTGTCTATGTTACATATCTACACAAACACAAGGGAGACACAATTTTGATGAAAGAGTAACATTATGTGTTTTCATAGGCTACCCTTGTGAAAAAAAGGCCTATAAAGTCTATAATCTTAAAACCCACAAGATAGAGGATTCTAGAGATATAGTTTTTCATGAAACTATCTTTCCCTTTCAATCTCCACTTTCCCAATCTTCTCTATTTCCTTCTAATTATAACTATGGCCATCCTCTAGATGATTGCACTAATTCTATCAGTAATAGACCCCCTTGAGATCTATCTCTAAATTTCAACGTCACACTCCAATACAATCTATTTCTTTTATTCATCAACCTCCACTCAAAAAATCCATTAGATCTTCTCAACAACCCACTTATCTTCAAGACTATGTCTGTCAGTCCTCTTTTCCTATTCATCCAACAGACACTCCTTCCTATTTTTCTTCTTCTGATCATATGTGTTCTCATACTATTACTTCCACACCCATTTTCTTACACATATGCTTAGGGGCTTTAATTGAAACTAGTCAACAGCTTTTGCACAATATTTCATGTATACAGGAGCCGAGTGATTGTGAAGAAGCACATACTGATCCAACATGGCAGCATGCTATGGTTTTGGAGTTTCAGGCCCTAGAAGACACTGGCACATGAGAAATTTGTGACTTGCCCAAGCGAAAGAAGCCCATCACAATTAAGTGGGTATATAAACTCAAGCTTAAGTCTCATGGTACCTTAGAGAGGCATAACGCTAGGCTGGTGATCAATGGTTTCACACAAAAGGCTAGTATAGATTACCATCAAACTTTTTCTCTTGTTGTCAAAATGACAACAGCTAAAGCTCCCATCACAGTGCAACATCAGTGAATAATATTTCAGTTGGATGTTAACAATGCATTTATGCATAGAGACTTAGATGAATAAATCTACATGAAACCCTACCTAAAGGCATGCATCTTCCAAAACCCAACCAAGTTCTCAGATTAAAGAAATATTTATATGGTCTCAAACAAGCTTCAAGACAATATAATGGTACCCTAAGTTGCACATTGTTCTTAGATCTAGAGGGTATATTTCTTCCATAAATAATTGCTCTCTGTTTACCAGACATATAGACTCTTCCATTGTGCATTTTGTTGTTTATGTGGATGATATTTTCATTAATGGCAATCATTTTGATGAAATCTCCAATCTCAAAGATTACCTCAACACTACTTTTAAGATCAAAGATTTGGGAAGAATGAGCTACTTCCTTGGTCTAAAGGCAGTATATAAGAATAATGCCATTATTCTTACTTGGAACAAGTTCACTATGGATCCACTCTCCACTTTTTCATGTCCTTCATCTTCACATGTCATATGTCCTTTACCAACCAATCTTCAGTTGGACCTTCAAAATGGTTTTCCTCTACTAGATCCCTCTAGCTATAGATGTCTAGTTGGAAAGCTGAATTTCTTGACACAATCACGCCCAGATATTACTTATGTTTAGTTCTTGAGCAAATGTATGCAAGATTGGGAAGTTCCTCAATGGGAAGCTACCCAACACACTCTTTGATATCTTAATTCTTTCCCTTCTAATGACCTATATTTCAACGACTCTTCTGATTTTCAGTTGCAAGCCTATTGTGACTCGGATTAGGCTGCTTGTCCTAACACAAGAAGATCAGTCGGTGGCTTCTTAATCACAAGGATGGTGGGTTTTAGAATATTAGCTAATTAGTTTAGTTTGTTAAAGTTTGTTAGTTTGTTATGATGACATTGTAAACTTATTTTCTTCTTTTTCTTTTAAGTCCAAGTGTGTAAATACTAGATGTTTCTCTCTTTTCCAACAATAATTCTTCATTCTATAGAAGAATATTCAATAAACAGAAGTATATTTTTCGTTCTTCTCCGATCTTCATCTTCATTCTTCATATCTCCAACATGAAATTCAACACTCTGGTTTCATACTATCCGAAATAGTATATTCTAAGGTCCTTAAAATTGTGATATTATAATCAGAGGGTCTATTCTCTCAATTTAGACTTAAGATTCAAAGTTCTTTTACTTTGACAAATTGTAGAATTTTATTTTAATATAACAAATTAAAATAATGATTATCAATGTAAAATTTAGTATTTGTTCAAAGTAACAGAACTTTCAATCATAACGGCCAAATAGACGGAATATACCCTCAGACTACATTACCATAAATTTTAAGGAGCTCTAGGGCATGTTTTAGATAATGTGGGATCTGAGAGTTCTAACCAGAAAATCATCAAGGGTACCCCAAAATATATTTAAGATAATGTTGGACATGAGATTTATTAACAAAAAATCAAGGATACCCCGAGTAATTTTCAGTATATATACTCCCTCCGTCCCTAAATATTTGTCACGGTTACTATTTTGGTCTCTCGATAACTTTTGTTTGTTTACTCATTTTGGTTGATCATTTGATAAAATAAAATATTCTTGTCGCATCTTGTTTTATAAAACTTTTCATATACTTTTAAATGGTGTAATTTTTACTTTTTATTACTCTACCAATTTGAAAATATAATGATTTAAAAAAAACGATATTTTGCATGTCGTTCGAAATGTTACAAATAATTTGGGACGGAGCTGAGAGAGTACTAAGGACTAAGGAGTATGTATTTATTAGGGAGTAGCTAATTACCTTCATGTAAAGATCGATCTCAGCATCAGGTAAAAACTTAGCATCTCTCTCCCTCCTCGCAAGTTCCGTTAGGAGTTCTACACATACATTATTGTGTTTATGCATTCAATATATTTCATTAATTTGAGAGAAATTAAATTAAAAAGAAGAAATGAATAAAAAAAAGTAGTACCATAACGGGAACCAACTCCTTGACATCTAGCTGAGAAATCTAAAGTTTCTTTTACCGTCATTTCCCCAACGTGAACATCATTTTGACTAATATATGCCGACGTCTTCTGAGGTACAAACTCCGTCAGCTTGTGACCATTGTAGGTGATTTCGCCCATAACCTGTGCATCGTCTACATATTGTAAGTGACTGAGTGTTAATTAATGCTGTCATTTTAGGGTTTGAATCGAAAAAATTAAATTGAAAGAA